AACCTTTGTGGTTTACCCTAATCTGAGCTAGTTTTCTGCGAAAGGGTGGTAGAACCTATTGCAATGGTAGTTTATAGCCCTCTATTGTGTCTATCATTGAACAAAATTATAATGCATGCTGACAACTGAATCCAAGTCTGCATTCTTTTTCAAACTCTCCTTGACTTCAATAACATTAGTCATGCATATGAGCTGCAGGAATAAGCCCTAGAGCAGCGCTACTCAAAGTGGTGCCTGTCCACGAGCCATCGGCTGCCGGTCTGCGCGCACATTGGAAAAAAAAATTGCCGGTCCCCCATATCAGCTAGCTCGAGAAGCACTGCCCTAGAGGACAGTTACATGGCTTCTCTGATATAATGCTAGTTAAATTAGCCATCATAATGCCATCAGAACCCATTATAAAATACTCCTTTATAGCATGTAATGTCCAAGAGGCCTATAAATAGCCTCTTAAATTTCAACATGCTCTGTTGTCTCCTCTTTTTAAATTCAGAACATCTTGTTGATGAAAACTGGCATTTTTCTAAACAAGCACGTGTGTGTGTGTGTGTACATATAAAAGGAGCAAAAATATTTTGTTTGTATAAAATTTTCCAGTTTTTAAACCAAAATCTTAAAGCTTTCAGGTTTTTGTAAACCAAAATAACCAAAACAGATACTGGAACAAATTATCAAACAATCAGTTTGTAAGCACCTGGAGGATAATAGGGTTATACGGAATAGTCAGCATGGATTTGTCAAGAACAAATCATACCAAACCAACTTAATTTCCTTCGCTGATAGGGTTACTGACTTAGTGGATAGGGGAGAAGCAGTAGACATGATATGCCTTGATTTTAGTAAGGCTTTTGACACAGTTCCACCTGACATTCTAATAAGCAAATTAGGGAATGTAGTCTAGATGAAGTTACTAAGGTCTGTGCATAAACTGGTTGAAAAATCAGACTCAAAGAGTATTTTGCCATGGTTTGCTGTCAAATTGGGAGGCTGAATCTAGTGAGGTCTGCAGGGTCAGCGTTAGGTCCAGTACATTTTCATTTATGATTTGGATAACGTAGAAGAGTTTGCTTATAAAATTTGCAGATGACACCAAGCTGGAAGGGGTTGCAAGCACATTGGAGGACAGGTTTAAAAAAGTCAAAATGATCTTGACAAACTGGGAACTGGTCTGAATTCAACAAGATGAAATTCAATAAAGACAAGTGCAAAGTACTTCACTTAGGAAGGAAGAATCAAATGCACAGCTACAAAATGGGGAGTAACTGTCTAGGTGGTAGTACTACTGAACTGGATCTGGGGGTTCTAGTGGACCACAAACTGAATATGAGTCAGTGTGATGCAGCTGCAAAAAAGGTTAATATTAGTCTGGGTTGTATTAACAGGAGTGTTTTATGTAAAACACAGGAGGTAATTGTTCTGCTCTGCTTGGAACCGGTGAGGCCCCAGCTTGAGTACTGTGTCCGACTCTGGGCACCACAATTTAGGAAAGATGTGGACAAATTCAGATAGTCCCGAGGAGAGCAACAAAAATGGTAAAAGATTTAGAAAACCTGACCTATGAGGAAAGGTTAAAAAAACCTGGGCATGTTTAGTCTTGAGAAAAGAAGACTGCCCTTATTGTAAGACTGTTATCGAGAGGATAGTGATCAGTGGACATGGAGAACAATTGAAGGTCGGACAAGAAGTAAGGAGCTTAATCTGCAGCAAGGGATATTTAGGTTAGCTATTAGGAAAAACTTTCTAACTATAAGGGTAATCAAGCTCTGGAACAGGCTTCTGAGGGAGGTTGTGGAGTCCCCATCACCGGAAGCTTTTAAAAAAACAAGTTGGATAAATACCTGTAAGGATGGTTTAGGTTTACTTGGTCCTGCCACATCACAGGGGGCTGGACTTGAGGTCTTCCCTTCCAGCCCTACATTTCAATGAAAACTGAAAAACAAGAAGTGTTTGTTTCAATGAAACCTGATTTTTTTTTCAATTCTTTTGTTGAAAAGAAAAATAAATGGAAGTTTTCTAAGAATTTTTTTTTTCTGGGCAGCTTTAGACTGTATCCTTTCTAGGGGTGTGCCACTTACTTAAGGTTACAGTTAAATTTTTGTAGCTGCTATAGAGAGGCTTTAAAAACTAGTTGCTGAAGTGGACAGTTGACATTCCAGTCTTTACTCACCTTTACATTATGTGGCTTTTGAACATACGGTGGTGAAGGCCAACCTTCTCTGTAGGCATTCTTTGATCACCAATGTTCTTCATGAGGCCAAGTGTGTAACAGATTAATGAGAACTCCTTTAATCAAGGCAGTGAGACGTGATAGTGAAGAACAAGTTTCATCTTATTTATTATACCTTCTATAACACTGAAAAGGTAATAGAAGGTATGCCCTAGAATAGGGAATACTGCTAGTTTCATTAATATTTTACTTCACAGTAAAAGTATACTAGGAAATTCTCCCTCTCCTGCACCTGCCCATGTACCAATAAATTTTGTTTATTATGACTGCACTGTATGCGTATCCCCCAGCACTCACTATAACTTGCCAACTTCCATCCCCACAGCCATAGGGCTCAATGTAGGAAGGGTTCTTTGTGGGAGATCTTTTCTTTGGCTGTTCCAAAGTAATGGTAAGGAACTGGGGGGAATGTTGCCAGGGTTACATGACGCAGAGCCACATCTAAAAACGAATCCAGCTGCTTTCACCCCATTCCATCTGTCATGCGTACATGCGTGATTGTTCACAAAGGTTTGTTCAAGTCAACAGGGATCAAAAGTTTCATTACAAAATCAAAAACTGAAGAAGTCTTGAAATCTTATGCCTTTCCAGAGGCAGCAAACACATTTTGTTTTGAGCTTTGATTAGACGTTTGAGGGGGCCTAAAAATGGTTCAGATGAAACTCAGCTATAGTCGTTTAGTTTCTAGATTTGAACCTAAGATCGAAATTTACTCATCTGAGTTTTGGAATGAAACTTTTGCACACTGCTAGTATTTCCTTCTTTAATTTCACTTGTGACCAGCAGACAGAACTTTTGTTGTTGTCCATGTTTGCTCACTGGGTTCATTTGCCATATGCAAGTGTTCATCCTTTTAAACAGTACAGAGCTCTGCAGACAGTTCACTTGGGATCGGTCTTCTAAATGATGCTGCTGAAATAGTAGAGCTTGTGGGGGAAGGAGAAGTGGTCTAGGGAAATTTTGTTCTCTATAGTTCAATATTTCATACCTGATCTATTGTAGCCCACTGGCTGGAAAATACTTTATTTTAGACAGAACAAACTTTTATTCTGGGAAAGCCATTTTAGAAGGCTGTTACCATACCTGTGATATTTGAAATATGAATTCATAATTCACAGTTTATCAATAAAAACACATTGACTTTCACAGAGGTTGTCTGGTGGCTTCTAGTACAGCAGTACAAACATTTACTTACATCATGTTCACAGCTGATAAACTGCAGTTGCTAACAGTTTGTTAATTAAATCTTAGTTAAGCTTTGTCCTTCCTGCTTTTGAGCAAACCCTTAACATCTGAGGTTGCAATTTGCATGTATCAGTCAACACAACCGCTGAACAAAGTGCTTGTTTAAGTAATAAGATAAGGAGGTACTCTCTCCACATTTCAGCTTTGACTGCCTCAGAGGTACGGTTTCCCAAGATTCCTAGCTGCTGCTTGTTCAGGCAGCTCTGTGGTTTGCACTGCATATTAATTTCTGTCCAACACGGGAATTCAATTTGTACTGTACATTTCATTTCTTCACAGATTTAGATTTATTTCATGTTCTCCGCTTTTAATTAACTCTCTGGCACAGCTGCTGGACAGGATATAAAAACTCATTGCTCTCCCTGTGTATGCGTACACCACCAATCATTTACCACTTAGATGGTGGTGCAGTAGCTATCAGTTTCTATGGCAACCAGAGCCGTGGTGATTGATTCCTTGCCAGTATGGCATCACCACAGGGAGTGAAGCTTGTGATTTTTGTATGCTTGCAACATCCATCTAATTAAAATGGGATTAGAGAATCATCCCAGTATATGTTCAACAACTACACTGCAATCCATTTATGTAAATGTCAACACTATTCAACACAGTAGTCAGAGTGTTTATGAAGAAATAGTTGCTTTGCTCTTTGGTATTTTGCAATGGGTGAGAGAGGGAATAAAAGGAGAGAAATGCACACAGCATTATTTTGGCTAGTAATAAAGGGAATAAAAGTAGCCTTTGACTGATGTTAAAGCTTTAAACAAATAACATCCCATTTCTGAATTTGAATTGTGCACACAGGAAGCAAAAATGACAGGACTATTATGGCTCTGCTGATGTTGTGATGGCTAACCTGGAAAACCGCACTAAGCCTGTCTTGGCAATTGGTTAATTAATTTAGCATGAATTATTTATTTGTCAAAAGCTCTTAATTCATATGATTGATTTTAGTTCAGTGGTATCCCCCGAGAGCAAAGTAATCCTTGTGCTCTCATAATTTCTTTCATACAGCATTCCTCAAGTCTTCTAGCAGTTACTTGGAATTTTGTGAAACCTTATGTATCAGGTGAGATGACAGACACACAGTATGCAAGGAGACTCCAGATGAAAAGAGAAACTCAGGGATTTTGTGAAGGACTAAAAGTGAAACTAGGTTCTTTGGAGGATTGTTAGATGTAAATGCAAAGAAAAAGGGAAAAGAAAGGCCAGAGGGTAACAGATCTGATGGGAATTTTTCTCTCTATATCAGTGTTTCTTCTGCATAACACTGACAAAATAGTCTGTTAACATGAAATATGGTACTTTGCAGTACTTAATGGTCTCGTGTCAGTGTGCATTTCACTTTGCAATGTATTTATATATTATAAAACTTAGAAACATTTTATAAATTATAGATAAACCTAATAACCCTTGGGATTTTATCTAAAATCCCATTAATGTTGGTCACATGGTCAATTTTAAAACATAATTCTATTTGCCACAGGCAGCAGGAAAAGGATTATGTTGAGGTCAATACTGCACAACACATGTCAGCACTCCCATGTCAGCACACAGCTGGGTCTAGCCCAAGATAAGAATCAGTACAGGGGAGGGAACAAAGTGGCACCAGCTCAGGAGCAAATCCAGCCTCAAGTCTGGAGGCAGAACGCACAATAGGGGAGAGAAGAAGCACTGCTGACTCCTTTGAAGAGATGACTTTGGTGCAGGTAGGATACAGAAAGGGGAGCAGAGTGAGAGTGGGGAGGTGGACACAGAGCAAGCAGAAGGGAAAGAGATGGAACTGAAAAAAAATAGTTGTTTGAATTTTAAATAAATGCATACAGGCTCCAGGTGTTAATATGCTACGGTGAGGGGCATGGTGTAAGAACTTGAACAGAATAGGGACAATAGTAATTGCATGCATTGTCCCTCAAAGGAAAACAGTTCACTTGATTGTACCTACTGCTTCCAGCTTCCAACAATGTACCACAAACCCAGGAACTATTTTGACAGCACTGCTGCCTCGGAACAGTGTTAAGTGCTCTTTCCCATTGAGCTAGTGAGTATTTATATTTTGTAGGTATGCATTAATTTAAATACCTAAAAATAAACAGAACATATGGCTACACCCCACTGAAGTCAATAGCTGTCTGCCCACTGATTCCAGTGGGTTTGGATCAGGTCCAGAGTGAGTATCTACAGACTATGGGTCAAATGCCAGCAGCTATTTGATACCCACAGGAGACTGGACACACCTGAATTGTGGCCTGGGACGTGTGTACAGGTTGGAGTGACAGCTGGTTGGAAAATAACACACCATTTCTGTGAAGCTATAGGATTCTTTCCACAAGAAATAGCTCTGCCCAGTGGGCTGGGTGGTTACAAAGCCATGCCTTCTTCCCCATCCACACCGTGCTAATCGCTCCACCTCAAGAGAAACATATCTTATTTCTGCTGATTCAAACACGTACGGAAAAGTTAGAGGTATATATTTCAGACTAACCAATTTATTTGAGCATAAGCTTTCGTGAGCTACAGCTCACTTCATCGGATGCTGTAGCTCACGAAAGCTTATGCTCAAATAAATTGGTTAGTCTCTACGGTGCCACAAGTACTCCTTTTCTTTTTGCGAATACAGACTAACACGGCTGTTACTCTGAAACCAGGTATATATTTCGTTATATATTTTTTATGCTGTGTAGATGTGTTTTGGCCTTATGTTATCCATAGCATCCATGACTGAATTTAAAAGCTTACATGTAATTAGTTATATAAAACTCCCAATTTCCATGTAATGACAATAACTTGAAATCTTGTAGAAAATTAACAGAATTTGACAAAACTGAGAAAACATTAAAAATGAGAAACCCAGTATAACCAGTGTGTATGAAACTGGGTCATAAGCACAGTTATGTTACCTATAGAGCTGGTTAAAGCTTTTTTTGCACAAAAAGAATTTCCTTGAAAAATATCTAAATCAACTTTTTCCTTTGGAAAATGTCAATTTCAATTAATTTTTTTCCATTTTCCAAATAGAAAATTCTAAAGAAAAAAAATTTTCAGTTGACATTTTGAAATAAAATGAGAGGTTTTGCTTTGTTTATATTTAAGGTGTCATTTGAATTTGGTTTTTGAAAATCAAACTTCTCATTTTCAAGTTTTTGGAATTTTGGTTTCCTCTCTTTTTAATCACAAGAGGGGTAGATGTGATTTTTAAAAAGAGATCAAAACCAGAGAATGGAAAACCGAACTTTCCATTTCCAAAAGCTTTAACAAAATGACAATTAAAATAGAAATGAAACTAAAAGTTTTGTTTCATTTTGACAGTTTAAAATGAAACAGAGTCCTGCATACTGCACACATACAATCAAGATGAAAAGTGATGAGAGGGCGTGTTTGCAGTAGAAACCAATGCCTCATAAATCCCAGCACTGGTGTGACTATCATCTTTCTATGGTCTGCTAATAGGAACATAGTGTATAGGAATTGCTTAGATCACCTTAACCTTCATCCAGTGTTGAGAAAAAAAGTTACATTACCTGTGTCATGAGGGAATTTTGTCCCCCAAATAGTCAGAAACTGAGAACAATTCTTTAATGTCTTTAAACTACGATTTGAGGACTTCAGTAGCACAGATATAGGTGTGAGGTTTTTTGCAGGAGTGGGTGGGTGAACTTCTGTGGCCTGCGTTGTGCAGGAGGTCAGACTAGATGATCATAATGGTCCCTTCTGACCTAAACGTCTATGAATCTATGAATGTTTTATGTGAAAAAACTTTTAACTAAGCAATTAAAAGAATTAACAGGAATCTCATTCAGTGAGAGCCTATATGCAATTTTCACATACCATCATCAACAATGTGGGGTGCTCATTGCATACAAATTCACTGCATAGTGCACACTGCTTGGAGCTCTTCTAGTAAGCAACCTTGGGCGAATGTGGCAGCATCCACTGTAGAGTTTTCTAGGTGCTCCTGTGGTGGCTGGTTTTCAATGATAGCCCAGGGATAAAAGTGCTGCTTTGATGGGCATCAAGGATTCTTCTTTTTAAAACCTGCATCCCCGTGTTGTTCCCTGAGATGGATACGGAACAAGCACCTTCTTTTTCTTGGTCAAGCGCGATGCCAAGCAGGGTTCTCGCTGACCTAAACAATGACCCTTGCAATGCCAGCAAAAAGCACGTCAAAGAAAAGAAACACTGGCTGTGGATTTATCTTGCACCTGCAGGAGTACATGTGTGCAAGATGTTCCATGTTATTGACATTACTTTTAGGGTCTTCGTTGTGAAGAATCGGGGGTTTTCTTTTTATCCCCTTCTACAGTCGTGTCATGATGTATTGTCAATAGCATTATTACTGACTTGCCCTTCTTTGGAACATAGGAAACCGGAGTGAGTTGCCTTGGAAACCCAAACACTGATGATTTTTCTCTGCTGCAATTTGGATGCATCTCACCAGGTATGTCTAGCTCTTTTCAATGGATTGTTCCAACACAGGTCAAATTTCATTCAGCAAGCTGAATACTACTGAATAAGTTATCCCCAAATACATTTCTTCTAGTCTTATGCTAGGGCTGAACTCAAGCTTTTCTCTGTTTGTTTATAGATGAAACTGATGTACAAACAAACAAACAAACAAACGTGTTTTTCCTTCTCGGAGAAACTCTCAACACCATCTACTACAAAGTCACTATCATCTAATACATTGTCATCACATTATGACTCCCTTTCAGAATTGAAAATCTTTTTAATGTAGTCAGAAGCAGAATATCATGCCCATTTGTTCACCATCTCAAATTGCACAACACAGAAAATCACCTCAAGAGTCTCCTGAGTGTGCAGTATTTGGAGCACAATACCTAGACCTAAAATCTCTTGCAAGTGTTGGGCAAAGGCTACCAGCATCAATCCACTGCATGTTGAAGATACCTAATAAGCCAGGATTTGAAGGGACTAACCTCCCTGGAGCACCTTCTCCCTTAGGGTGACTATATGCAGCAACCAGTGTCACTGCAATTCATTGTTAATTAGCACATGCTAACTATCCTTCTCACTAAAAGCAAATGTGCACACAGAACTACTAAAATAGAGGATAACAGTGCAACACATTTAGGGTACATTTGTACCCCAGATACTCTTGATTAGAAAAAATGTTTTTAGTGTTAAATTAATTTTTTTCACTGAGTTGTATTCATCTGCTTAGGTGACAAATGTCCTAAAATAGCATAGCTGGAGGCCACTAGTTCATGAAATATCACAACATATATGCTTGTGGGGTACAGCATTACCCCACAAATGTAGAGAAGGGTTATGTAGTTTGAGCCCTCCAGTGGCTCCCACAAATGATCTTCTGTGTTCCAGTCACCACCCTGCCAGACCAGCATGTAGCTAGGCCTTGTATGATGTTTATAGCTAGTAAACATGGCTATTTGACCCCAACTGTGCCCATGCAGTTTCTTCCCATTATGCATGTTGTATAAAGAGCAAGAGACAAAAGCTGTCATCGTAGTGAAGGATGGTATTCTAATCTAAGAACACAGTGAAATAGAGACTGATTACCAAGACTTAGTGTTATTGAAGAGAAAATTGCAGCTTGCAGCCACTGAATCTGAGAGTTAACTACACATTTGGCAAAGAGGTAAAAAAAAAAAAAGGGGGGGGGATTGGTTTGATAGGTCAGAGGACTGGCTTACATATACAGAGTGTTTGTCCAAGTTTAACCTACCTGATGCCTAGCTACAAATGAAGATTGAAGAGCATTAAAAAGGGAACATTAGTCCATAGCTTCCTTAAAAACATGTCACTCAGGTGTCCCCTAAAATGTTATTGTGCCAAAGTTAGGGATTCAATTAAATCACTGAAGTGCAAAAATGAAGATCTTAACTCTGCTTAAAGTGCTTTTCTCAACATAAACTCCACTATCGAGTCACTATGTCACCATAATATTGTGGACAGGGCTGGCCCCAGGTGTTTTATTATCCAAAGCAAAATGTGGTTTTGGTGCCCGCCCCACATCTCAAAAGATGCAAGCAAATAAAAAAGAAGTGGAGGAGATTTGGCACCCAGGCCAGCCTCCTGGTTTGCCTGCCCCTGAGGCCTGCCCTGATTATGGAGCTGTACAAAACTACAGGGAAAATATACATTAAGTAATGAACAAACTGTTGGAACAAAATGAAAATTCTTTAGTGGTATAAGGATGATTCATGGGGTATCACTTCTGAAGATGATTCAGCTTTTCACAAACAGACATTTCTGCATATTATATGTGTTATGCATCACATAACGATGAAAAAAATCAGCAAAGATCCCACAGAATGGACTTCTGAAGTTTTACAATGTACCATCTATGAAGTACTGGTTTATAGACTGGGAAAAAAGAGTTTTTATAAAAAAAAATGGAATCCTTATAAACTTTTAAATCGACTGTTCCTTTCACTGTACTCCCTATTACCCCAGCTTTGCATCACAGGATCTGATAGCTTGGACCTCTGTGCCCATCCAGAATCCAGTTGATTCCACAGAAATCTGTGGTAGTGGATTCTGATGCTGGGTCAGGCCCATGTTTATAAAATCATACTCGTTGCTGTCTGTTCGTATACTCATTTCAATAGAGACTTAAATGCTATTGATCTAATCAGGGAGCAGAAATAGTCCAATATACTGTAGGTAACCAATCACACACAATAAATGAATAGCAAATTATCAGATAGAACAATCCATGGGAAGAAAATCATTTGTTCTGATTATGTGTCTAGTCCCTTCCAAGTAATGAATATATTAGCAGAAATGAGGTTCAAATTGCAAATGATTCATTAACATAAAATAAGGGCAATGAGTGCAGCATTTGTAGCAAATGTTGCTCACAAAGAATCATCCAAACATCTGCACTTACCAAGAAAGTTAGGCACTTCCCTCACAAAGAGAATGGAGACCATCTCCCCGCACATAGATCGTTTCCAGCTCCCTGCATGCTCCAACAGACACACAATGGTCTGCACCCAGTGTTTTTTTTTTGTTTTTAATTCACAGCAAAGCAGTCAAATTGTCTTTCCTCCACTACTAGCAACTAAATGTAACGATTGTGAAAGGTGCCAGCTAGACAGTCTCACAAACAGAAGACGTCTGTCCACAGAAGCAAGTCCACTCAAGGACAATAAGGCCATTGCAGAGAAACTAAATGAATTATTTGCATCAGTCTTCACGGGTGAGGATGTGAGGGAGATTCCCAAACCTGACCCATTGTTTTTAGGTGACAAATTGGAGGAACTTCCCAGATTGAGGTGTTTGCAACTAATTGAGGAGGTTTTAGAACAAACTGGTAACCTAAACAGTAATAAGTCACCCAGACCAGGTGGTGTTCACCCAAGAGCTCTGAAGGAACTCAGATGTGAAATTGCAGAACTACTAACTATAGTCCGTAACCATCATTTAAATCAGCTTCTGTACCAAATGACTGGAGGATAGCTAATGTGACGCCAATTTTTAAAAAGGGCTCCAGAGGTGATCCAGGCAATTATAGGCCAGTAAGCCTGATTTCAGTACCGGGCAAACTAGTTGAAACTATAGTAAAGAAAAAAATTGTCAGACACATAGATGAACATAATTTGTTGGGGAATAGTCAACATGGTTTTTGTAAGGAAATCATGCCTCACCAATCTACTAGAATTCTTTGAGGGGATCAACAAGCATGTGAACAAGGGGGATCCAGTGGATATAGTATATTTAGATTTTCAGAAAGCCTTTGGCAAGGTCCCTCACCAAAGGTTCTTAAGCAAAGTAAGCAGTCATGGGATAAGAGGGAAGGTTCTCTCATGGATTGGCGATTGGTTAAAAGTCAGGGAAAAAAGGGTAGGAAGAAATGGTCAGTTTTCAGAATGGAGAGAGGTAAATAGTGGTGTCCCACGGGGTCTGTACTGGGCCTAGTCCTATTTAACATATTCATAAATGATCTGGAAAAAGGGGTAAACAATGAGGTGGCAAAACTTGCAGAGGATACAAAACTACTCAAGATAGTTAAGTCCCAGGCAGACTGCAAAAAGCTACAAAAAGCTCTCTCAAAACTGGGTGACTGGGCAACAAAATGGCAGATGAAATTTAACGTTGATAAATGCAAAGTAATGTACATTGGAAAACATAATCCCAAATATACATATAAAATGATGGGGTCTAAATTAGCTGTTACCGCTCAAGAAAGAGATCTTGGAGTCATTGTGGATAGTTCTTTGAAAACATCGACTCAATGTGCAGTGGCAGTCAAAAAAGCTAACAGAATGTTGGGACCCATTAAGAAAGGGATAAATAATAAGACAGAAAATATCATATTGTCTCTGTATAAATCCATGCTATGCCCACATCTTGAATACTTCATGCAGATGTGGTCACCCCATCTCAAAAAAGATATATCGGAATTGGAAAAAGTGCAGAAAAGGGCAACAAAAATTATTAGGGGTATGGAATGGCTTCCGTATGAGGAGAGATTAATAAGACTGAGACTTTTCATCTTGGAAAAGAGACAGATAAGGGGTGATATGATTGAGATCTATAAAATCATGACTGGTGTAGAGAAAGTAGATAAGGAAGTGTTGTTTACTTCTCATAACACAAGAACTCGGGGTCACCAAATGAAATTAAGAAGCAGCAGGATTAAAACAAACAAAAGGAAGTATTTTTTTCACACAACGCATAGTCAACCTGTGGAACTCTTCGCCAGAGGATGTTGTGATGGCCAAGACTATAACAGGGTTAAAAAAAGAACTAGATAAATTCATGGAGGATAGGTCCATCAATGGCTATTAGCCAGGATGGGCAGGGATGGTGTCCTTAGCCTCTGGGTGCCAGGAGATGGATCATTTGATGATTATCTGTTCTGTTTATTCTTTCTGGGGCACCTGGCATTGGCCACTGTTGGAAGACAGGATACTGGGTTAGATGGACCTTTAGTCTGACCCAGTATGGCCATTCTTATGTTCTTTTCTTCACTCAGCTACAACCAGGGCTTTTTAGGACTCCTTTATACTGCTACAGCCCTTCTACATGATGCAAAGGGGCCAGAGCATGGATAAAGGTCTCACCTATTTCTAAGGCCATTTTATAAGTGCCTGTCTTACACCTGTGCTCCCATTCCATAAATAAAAATACATACATAGTATTTTCCTATCTCTACCTCTAATTTAGTTTTGGAAATGGGAGTGATATTAGTGTGTTTCTTTTGTTCAGAAAATGTTTTGTCTGTGGTTTGTTTGAATCTTGGCTCCAGGAGAAGTATTGCCAGAATAAGGACAAAGGCTTGGGCCCCTTTAATATTTGGGTATCAAGACACTTTTATTTTCAAAGCACATCCAAATGTTTCACCACACAGGCCAACCCACACAGGCATTTAAAGTAAAACATGAAATCTGTACAAAAGGCAAACCTGTGATAAATCTTATATATTTTACTCTTATGTGGGTGATAGAAATA